CTGCGTCCTTGCGTGTCGGCCCTTGAATGTTGTGCGTCTTAGCTTGTTCTGTTTCCTTTTTTCTCTTGCTCTTAGCACGGCCTGAGTGATGACTCGCGTGCTGGACCGTCCTAACAAAAACCTTCCTAAAAATGAATGCTGATCAAACTGCTGATGTACTACAACATGGTAAGCAGGCTAAACTACGAAAGTAGAGATGTGGTTGTTGCCGATTCCGCTGAGTTCAGAGGTTGAAGGGAGATTATAGGTTCACGTTCGCCTGAGTATCGCATTGCCTTCCGTCAAAGCCCACTGAGTATACGTCTCTATTTACTGAGTCAAACTCCCAGTATCACTGCAAGACCAAAGAAGCAGTATTCTCTTGGAAGGAGGGAGAAAAAGTTTAGCTAGATGACCGCTTGAACAATACAGTATGGAAATCGCATATTTGCCAGTAGTTGACTTACAATAATTCGGAAGCTCTGCTGGGGAATTTCCAATCCTCCTAGCCGCCGGGTATGTTTCTTCTCAAAAACAACCTTCTTCTGGGAACCAAAATCACTTTGCTATCCTTACTACTGTCATTCCTTTCAAGTTGAATTTTTATCCTTCCGACTCAATGCCAGTTGTCAGAATTTTTTGAGGACAACTTAGCTTATTATAAGTCTACACCTTCACTGGAACGTAGGGTTTTAAAAGAGTATATTATTCTTATACTGGTTGTCGAAGGGAGAGAGAGTTTGGAGCCTTTTCGCTCAAACCTCTGGAAACTTGACCGGCAGGTAACTGCAGTTATCTAGAAACACAGTAAATCATTTGTAAAAACCCGCTTAATCGAGGTTTAGCGTATAGCACACCAGAAAACGTAATTAACACTTGTCTTGTGCATCAAAGCTGGGAAAATGTTATCTAAGTACACAGGTATGAGACGCGTCTAGCTGTGAGAGTCTTCTATACTGCTTGTTGTTTAAATTTCAAATATATTTCTCCCAAAATGTAACATTTTTTTAATGATTTACCTTGAAAAATTTCAACTTTCTTGCCGACGGAAAAATTTCCATTCGCAGTGATTAGAAGATTTATGGTGATGTCAAATTTTTAACCGAGGAATATAATATGCTCTTGTTGGAAAGGTTTCCCAAAGCTATTTTGTGCCGCCAGTCTCTTTGTGTCAGTTCAGCAGGGAGAA